AGCGACCCTCCTGAAAGCACTTCAACCTCGCCACCAGCCACTGATGCGGTCTGCCCAGGACACACATGGACGGCAGCAGGGGACCTGGGCCCTCAGGGCAGGCATATGCAGGGGACCTCCGAGGAAGGACCTGGCCCCGACACGGTGGAGTGGCACCTGAGTGCAAAGCAGGAAACACGCGAGCCAGGACACGCCTGGCAGCAGCACATGCCTGCATCCCAACAGACACATGCGACCCTAGGCAGAATCCCCCACTGTGAAAGGAAATATTCTATCACAGGAGTGGATGAATAATCTAAGGAGAACATGCTCTGAGCAGTCTTTAACCTGGTAAGAATTCTCCGAAGCCATTCTTCTGGTAGTTTTCGGGGCTGTAATTAAGAAGAAAAGAGAAAAACAGTTCAAGAACCACGCGAACATAGCCCCGAAACAGCTACGGGAGCAGAAGCCTCCTGATGAAGAACAGGGGCTGGCCTGCACACGGAGGGGTTGCACGGGAACCTGCTCGTAGTCGGGGCCCCCCGCAATCCTCAGGCGTGAACCCCAACCTGCCACCGGACCATGTTTCAAGACTGTCCTGGACATGAAGCTCGGCAAACCTCACCTGGAAATGCAGGCACACACGGCACCCTGCAGTGCCCTGGACCTACAGCCTACCCCACCTACCCGTGCGTGGGCATGAAGAGGGGACAGCATCTTGTCTGCTCGGACCTCCGGATGCTCCCAGAAGAGGAGACAGCCACGGAACTAATCAGCTCCGCAAGCAAAAGCCACCCGCCACGTTATTGCAATACAATCTGGCTGCCAAAGCCACTTCACAGTGAAACGGAACCTAGGGGTACTCATGGCCCATCAATGTCACAGCGCCCACACAAACAGAGGCGTTTTGTTTGGGCCAAAAAGCCGAGAATGGGCAGGGAGCGGGCTTTTCGCAGGGTAGTCTCAACGGCCAGCATCTTCCAAGAAATTGGGTAGAGTCATCAAAACGAAACTTCCAGGCACACACATACCCGATGCCTCACACATATGCTCACGATGCACACACACAACACATGCCATACACATATTGCTCACTCCAATGCCCCACACACATGCACACATGCAGTCATTACATAAGCTCACCATAACATAAGCACACAGCATGCTCTCACACATGCCCGCCACACATGCATTGCTCACTCATCATGCTCTGCACACGACACCCACACTGTCCACACACGCTCACACTCAATGCCCCACACACGCATGCTCCACACATGTGCTCACATGCACATATGCTGCCACAGCAAGCACACGATACACATATGCCTCATATGCACCGTGCATGTCACACACTTTCCCCCCACATACATTCCCACACATGCCCCCAACACATTGGCTCAACACCCTGACACAATGCACAAGCCCCAAAATCTCACTTTTCCGAACAGTCATCTCTATGTGTCACTGAAATTTCTTCCTTCTGAAGAGGCTTCTGCCAGGAAAACCAAGAAAATTTGGTTTTAAACTAAAAAAAACCGCGCACAGCAAATCATCATTCAATTTTTCCCTAAAATTATGCTATTGTCTTTTGTGAAGGCTTAGTGTTCCAGCAAGGACACCAGAGCCGTGCCCGTCCTTCCATCCGGTTCCACAGACCCAGCGCGGAGTCTGTGTGGAGGGGCGGGCTCGGGAAGGCAGGACCGCGGGGGGCTGGGCTTCTCCGGGCCGCACTGCGCAGGAGGAGACCCGCCTGGCTCAGGAGGCGTTTCCAGGACCTCGGGCTAATCCTGCCCGAGGGGAAAAAGGAAAAACAGAAAAAACAAACAGTCGGAAACGTATATACGCTGAGCTGGCCCTGCACCTGCGGAGCGAGCCCCCCACCTGGGGTCTCCTTCCCCTCCCAGCGACTGCCACCCCCAGCGCCTCTGCCTGAAGACAGCCCCCCACCCCAGGAACAGGACCCAGCGAGGGAGTGCGCGGGAATCCCCCACACCCCACGGGACGCTGACCAGGACCTCACAGATGCCCGTGAGAAACCCCAAACGCCACCCCGCCTGCCTCACCCACCAGGGCCCCCGCTGTAGCTTCACCCTGCCGCTGTTCATGCCAAAATACTCGTCGCAAAGCCCAGGAGGCCCAGAGACCGGGATCTGCGCTCCTAGCACAGCCCAGCGCCTCCACGCCGAGGGCACTGCCAATGTCGGGCAGAGACAGCCGGGCCCAAGCAGCTGTCCCGGGACAGCCTAACCCTGGAGGGGCACCAGCCCAGCCCAGAGAACAGCCTCCACTGCAGTGGGCCTGGCACACATCTGGCGGGCCCAGGGGGCTGCAGGTCATCCCTAAAGCCCTCGAAATCCAGATTCTGCCTGGGGCGGGACAGAAAATGCGAGGGAAAGAGCTCAAATCACCCCAGGGATGAAGGTCCAGCCCTGCCCACCACCCCGAGCCTCCTCTGACGGGGCCTCCCCTCTGCCCGCTCACTGTCTGAGACCCTACTATCAGCTGCTCCCCATGCCTACCCCCGATGACCCTCCCCCTCCAGATCCTCTCCTGACTGGATCCCAACTTCTCCTGCAGGGATGTGCCTCTTGTTCCCATCCCAGAACAAAGTGCAACCTCAGTAAGGGGAGTTCCATCAAGGAAAGTCAGTGAGAGAGAGACACCACTTACAGACCCCCAGGTAGACACCCCTGTGGTGAGGACAGAGCAGGAGGGACCCAGGGGGCCTCTGCGCCAGGTGGGACATGCACAGCTCAGCCCTGCAGCCAGAACACGTGGCCACCCCCATGATGCCTGCACAGCCTGCAGCCCCGAGAAGCACCTGGTCTCCACAGCCCACCTGCATGCAGCCTCCACAAGCTGGCCGGGGGCCCAGGCGCACCTGGTGGGCCTCTGGGTCCACTGTCGCCTGTCTGTGCTCAGGCCACATGGGCCCAGAACCAGTGAATGGCGCAGGCCACCCAGGACACAGGCCGCCAGGCGTGGACCCACCACGTTGCCAGCCTGTCCCTCACGTCTTGGGCCTCAAGAAAGGGAGGCCCGAGGCCACCCCCATATCTGCCACCACCTCCTGTTCCATCACACACAGAGCCGCAGGAGCAGGGGACAGAGGACAGGGGACTCCCGCACCACCCCGGCACGCACTGCGGGGCCAGCCTGCCCTCTAGGGAGCGGAGAGGAGACCCCGGGAACCACAGCAAGAGCTCGGGCTCCACCTGGGGTGCAGAGCCGCCCGTCCGCAGGGCCTGCTGCCGAGACCTGGTGTCTGTTGGGGCTGCGGTGCACCCCCAAGAATTGCGGGGCAGGCCCGGGGCACTGCAGTGCCTCCTGAGACAGTGCTCCTCCAGGCCGGCACCCAGTTTCACCGGGATCACGTCAGAATATGACAGGGATGGAATGAACCAGGAAAAGGCAGCAGTTTTCAGAAAAGCCAAATGGAAAATACGAAAATACAAGGGCAGACTCTCATTTCAGCTCTGAACATGGTCACGTCGTGCTCCTGGTCTGCCACACACACGAGGAGTGAAAACCAGCCCTGGAGCGGGAGCTGAACTGCGGGCAGGAAGGAGTGTTCTGCCTGGACACGGGCTCCCCGACGGGCACACACAGGAGACCCTGCCCGCAGGGCACACCGCCAATGCGCCCCCGAGATGCGGGCGGCTGCAGGGCCGCCATGTGCAGTAAGCGCCCTGGGGGGGTTGCCGGGGTGCGCAGGGGCAGCTTCGATTCCTTGGGGCCTCTTCTCCAGCTGAGCACTGAGCAGAAGGTGGTCAGTACACTGTAATCAGTCCTCTAATGAATTCATTATATCTACCCCTTTGATTTATAAATATTTCATGCCTTAAAAGGGAAGTTTCTCTCATCTGCACATCTGACCAAGCACTACCAAGAGGGCCATCCAGTCCCTTTAGAATAAACGCACATCTCTTACCTGGTGTGCAGCACACACACCCCAGGCTCACACTCACGCGCCTCCCTCTGGAGTGGCCTGGACGCAGGCAGGCAGGGCACAGACCCCCAGCCCTGCCCTGGCCCCACACCTCACCCGCCACCCGCGTCTGCCTGCCCCTCCACCCAGTAGACCCACCAAGTGAGACATGCAGCTGCCAGGAAGCCCCAGAGCGCAGCAGCCACCTAGCCCCACGGGGCCCTGGGCCCCAACTCTGCCTCGCCCAGCGCCCCTCTGCCCACCAGCCAAGGAAACTGGAAAACACAAGCAGCCCTCAGGCCCCAGCTCAGCCCTGCCCAAGGACAAACACATGGGCACCTATGTCCATCCACGAGGCACCCCGCCCCACACCAGCCTCCTCGCCAGACCCCAGCCATGCTGGATGCCACCACACCGCGCTCCTCACCCGCCAGGTCTCCCCCAGCGTGCCCCATCAGAGTGTCTCTCACACCCCACCCAGGCCCCACCAGGCCCAGCCACAGGACCGGGGGCTCCCTGCCTGTTGAGAATGCTCACCACAGAAGACAAGGACATCCTAGCGTCTGAGCAGAACACGCCACAGCGCCGCACTGGACGAACACCTGCTCAGCACTAGACCGAGGGGCCTGCCCTCAACCCAACAGCTCCGGCCTGAAAGCTTCCCAACTGCCCCTTCCTCCCCAGCCCCAGCACCACCTTCCACCCAGGCCCACCGGGCCCTGGAGTGGCTCCTGGCTGGGCAACGGGCGGCCCTCACTCCACCCTACAGGACCCTCCTGAAAGCCACTTCCAACCTCGCCACCAGCCACTGATGGCGTCTGCCCAGGACAACACGTGGACCGGAGCAGGAGACCTGGGCCCTCGGGGGCAGGATATGCAGGGACCTCCGAGAAGGACCTGGCCCCCGATGGCCACGTGAGTGGCAGCCTGAGTGCAAAGCAGAAACACGGAGCCAGGACACGCCTGGCAACAGCACATGCCTGCATCCCACAGACACATGCGACCCTAGGCAGAATCCCCCACTTGAAAGGAAATATCTATCACAGGAGTGATGAATAATCTAAGAGAACATGCTCGGAGCAGTTCTTACCTGGTAAAATTCCCGAAGCCAATTCTTCTGTAGGTTTTCGGGCTGTAATTAAGAAGAAAAGAGAAAAAACAGTCAAACCACGGACATAGCCCCAAACAGCTACGAGCAGAAGCCTCTGAGAAGAACAGGGGCTGGCCTCACAGAGGGGGTTGCACAGGGACCCTGCTCTATGTCGGGGCCCCCAATCCTCATGCGTGAACCCCAACCTGCAGCGGGGACCATGTTCCACAGACTGTCCTGGGACATGAAGCTCGGGGCAAACCTCACCTGGTAAATGCAGGCACACACGCACCCTGCATGCCCCTGACCTACAGCCCGCCCACCCTACCCCGTGGTGGGCATGAAGAGGGGACAGCACTTGTCTGCTCCGAGCCTCCGGATGCTCCCAGAAAGAGACAGCACGGAACATAATCAAGCCACCGCCACGTTTTTGCACATACATCTGCCTGGGCCAAAGCCACTTCACAGGAAACCGGACCTAGGGTGCTTCATGGCACATAAAATGTTCACAGCCACACAACAGAGGCGTTTTTGTTTGGGGCAAAAAGGAGAATGGCAGGGAGGGGCTTTCGCAGGGTAGTCTCAACAGCCAGCATCTTCAAGAAGCATTTGGTAGAGTCATCAACAGAAACTTCCAGGCTACACACATACCCGCATGCTCACACATATGCTCACATGCACACACACACATGCCCATACACATATGCTCACTCAATGCCCCACACACATGCACACATGCATGCATACATAAGCTCACACATACACATAAGCACACAAGCATGCTCTCACACATGCCCCCACACATGCATGCTCACGCATATGCTCACATGCACACACACCCACACATGTCCACACACATGCTCACACTCAATGCCCCCACACACGCATGCTCACACATGTGCTCACATGCACATATGCATGCCCACACAAGCTCACACATACACATATGCTCATATGCACACGTGCATGTCACACACTTTCCCCCACATACATTCCCACACATGCCCCCAACACATGCTCACACCCACACACATGCACAAGCCCCAGGAAACTCCTGGGCAGGACCCAAGGAGCCAAGTCCAGGTCTTGGAAATCTTCGGCTTGAGGAGAGACCAACTGGGTCACAGCCTCCCGATGGCTCCGGGGGCCCCAGGCCGCCCGGCTCGCCCTCAGCTCTGTGCCAGCTGCCGCCCGGCTCGCCCTCAGCTCTGTGCCAGCTGCAGCACAGGGTGGCGCAGCCCAATCAATCCTGGGAATGGAGAGACGACCGTGCCCGAGATAGGCGCTGAGAGCAAACGCTCAGCCGGTGTGCACACGAGTGTACACTAAGAAGTGCCCAGGTTGAACGAGGCCACCACAGGGCACGGGGTCACTGTCTCACAGGTAGAGTTTCAATTTTGCAAGATGTCATAATTCTAGAGATTCACTGAACAACAACATGAATTTACTTAGCACTACTAAATGGCACACTTAAAAATGGTTAGGACGGTAAATTTAACGTTCTCTGTTTTTTCTAGCACAATTAAGAAAAATAATAAACGATGTTCTCCTCCACCAATGGGGCGAAAGGCCAGTCGGCCCTGCTCTCAGCCCCCATCCAAGCCGGGCTCACTGTGGGCTCCGAGCAAAGGGGCCCGGGCAGATCACTCACAGCTGGTCCCAGTGTGCCCCACACCTGAGGCACAACAGCACCCCAAGCCTGCTCATGCCTCCGGACAAAACCCGGTGGAGGAACAAGAGCCGTACAGACCCTGGAAGCAGAGCACCACCAACACCTGAACCCAGCTGCCACCCGGCCCAGACGGTGCAGCCCCACTGGGCACGCTCAGGAGGGCGCACCCCGCACCCCGAAGAGCAGCGGCAGCGGAGAGCATCACAGAGACAAGCTCAGAGCTGGCAAAAGGTTTGGGCAGAGTGGCCAGCACACCCAGGAACAGAGGCTCGGTGTCATCAGCCATCGCGGAGGTGCAAACCACAGCCACAGCAGGTGACAGTGCGGGCAGGGTGGGGAAACGGGAGCTAACCGGTGCGCCGGCTGCAGAGAACAGCCTGGCAGTCTCTTAAAATGCTGAGCCTGGAGTTGCCTTGACCTGGCAGCTCCCTACCCAGGTGTGCGCCCACGGGAAGATACACGTCCACACAGAAACTGGCTCCCAAGTGGTCACAACGGCCACAGACTGACAAGCAGATAAACACGGCGTGGCATAGCCATGCAGCCCTGGGACCTGGCTGCTCCTTTGGGCTCAGGTGGCCCGTGCTCCCGCCACGGGAACCCCGTGTCCCTGCCCCATCAGGGACCTCAGGGACCTGTGGTCTGACCTAAGCATGCAGATACCCAGGAAAGGCCAACCTCAATCCAAGTGCAAGGGCCGCAGACGCCCAGCGGGCAGGAGCCAAGTGGCCAGGGATGTGCCCGCCCGCCCTCTGAGCCCGCCCCGCATGTCTGTGGGTGCGAGGGGCAGCGTAGCATGCAGTGACCTCCCAAGCAAGAGCTTGGTGCCTGGCCCTGGCCCTGGCCACAAAGGAGGCCAAGTTCAGCTGCAGGCGCCACTGCAGGAAGGGCAGCTCCCACCACCTCTCGCGGGAGCCGCAAACTCAGGTCCCCGGGGCTGTCAGGGACACGGGCCTTTTCACTTCCCAGCCCCAGCCAAAAGCCTCTGAACGGAATCCTCCCTCCGCACACCCTGCAGCGACGGAAAGTGGGTCTGACTTATGAAACCACTGCTGCTGCTCCGGCCCTTTCACCTGTTCCCGATCCTCTGCGACCTCCAGGTCCTCCACCGCCCGGGGGCAGTGCGCAGGGCCGACAACAGGACTCCCAGGTTGAGGACAACACGCGCGCCCCGTCTTCCTAGAGTCCCGGCTGCGGCTGCCCTCAGAGACACGACTCCCCACGGTGAGCTGAGCGGGCTCCGTCCCGTGGCCCCCGCAGCCCCACCGGCTCTCCGGCCGAGCTCACCAGGCCGGCTGCAGGACAAGACCGCGCAGACCAGGCGTGGAGGAGCTGGAGAGCAAGTCGGGGCTCGCGGTTCTCTCCTGCTGGAGCACACGCAGGATGCCGGCCGCCAGTGCCACGCCCCACGAGGCGACCCAAGGAACCCTCGCGGATCGCAGAGCATCCTCCTGCGTGCACACTTCCCGCCTCTGCCTTGTGACCCAGCGCCCCGGACGCCTCCGTGTCCCCGGGGCCCTCCTGCCATCCCCCCGCAGTCCTCCCTCCCCAGGGCATGCGCAGGCCTCGCCCTCCCTGCCTGGGCTCCGCCGGCCTCACCGCGCCCTGCTCGCCACAGACGCTCTGAGCTGCACCCGGAGGACAGCGCCGCCACGCCCGCCAGACGCCAGGACCACTGCCGGCCACGCGCACCCCGCGGCCCCTCCGTGGGGCTCCCACAGCCCTCCCCGGGAGCCCTCCCTCCTCCCCTCACTCATGCTCACTCCCACACTCCCACTCACACTCACTGCCACTCACACACTCACTCCCACACTCACACTCACTCCCACATTCACACTCACACTCATTCCTACACTCCCACTCCCACACTCACTCCCACACTCACACTCCCACACGCCCACTCACACTCATTCCCACTCCCACACTCACACTCACACTCACACTCACTCCCACACTCACACTCACTCCCACACTCACACTCCCACACTCACACTCACTCCCACACTCACACTCACACTCACTCCCACACTCACACTCACTCCCACTCCCACTCACTCTCACTCCCACACTCACTCTCACAATCTCACCCCCACACTCATGCTCTCACACTCCTACACTCACTCTCACACTCCCACACTCACATGTTCACAGTCACTCTTCCAAACACACACTCACAATCTCACTCCCTCACTATCGTTCTCACACGTTCCCACTCCCACGCTCACTCCCACTCACTCTCCCACACTCACTCCCACATCACACACACTCTTGCTCTCACACTCACACTCACTCACAATCTCACCCCCACACTCTCGCTCACACTCACATTCCCACTCCCACTCACTCCCACACTCTCCCACACTCATTCCCACTCTCCCACTCACTCACTCCCACACTCACTCCCACACTCACTCTCACTCACACTCTTACACACTCTCACACTCTTACTCCCACACTCTCACTCTCACTCTCACACAGTCCCTTCACACCCTCTCTCGCACCCTCTCATGCAGACCTGCCCCCTTGCGGGCCCTCCCATCTCAGCCAAGGGCCCATCCTGCCCCTCCTCCCCGACCCCTGTGGCTCCAGCTCTGCCCTCACAACTGTCCAGCATCCCTGCACTGCAGCCCGGCACACCCCAGAAATCACGTGGGTGCTCCCTCCAGAGCCCTCCCAGCTCTCTCCAGTAAAAGCCAGGGGCGGAGCTCCCGTCTCTGCCCTCTCCGCCCCTGCTCCGCTCTGGGCCACAGACCTTCCACCCCCGGCCTCAGGGCCTTTGCACTGAACTGCACACTTAGCAATGGTTGGGACGGTGGGTCTTACGTCATATGTATTTTACCACATTAAAAAGGGGAGAGATCTCCCCTGGCAGCACCGCTAGGGCAACAGCAATGTGAGCCGTAGCTCAGCAGGTCTGTGGAACTGTTTTAGACGAATTACTGCATTTTATTCATTTTATAAAAAAGGAAACTAAAATGGAAGTTTTGTGCCCAACAATAAGAAGGGGAGGTCCCATAAGCAGAACCCCGTTGACAGAAAATCCCAGGCCTGCCTGACAAAGCCCAGGGCCCCTCCCCGTCCCACAACCCCACACCACACACCGAGAGGACAAAACGCTGACGACAGAACAGGAATGGGGAGAGGTTCTGCAATGCATGCCTAGAAATGCTAATACACTTTTAAAAATACTCTGCATGTGAGAATATCCCCACCCAATATACATCCTATGTTTTAGCTTCCTGGTGCGTCCCTCAAGATGTGTGGGAAACACGCCATTTCTTGACATTCACAACTCAGCCCACAATCCGACATGCCAACATTTGCCTCAAATTTCATCCCACTGAACGTAAGGACTGTGACAACAACCTAC